GCCTGCACCCACGGACCCCACGGACCCCACAGACCCCAGGCCTGCACCCACGGACCCCACAGACCCCAGGCCTTCACCGCGGCCCCCACGCCCCCCAGGCCTTCACCACAGCCCCCAGGCCTGCACCCATGGCCCCCAGGCCTGCACCCACGGACCCCATAGACCCCAGGCCTGCACCCATGGACCCCGCGGCCCCTGCGGCCCCCAGGCCCCCACCCCCGGACCCCATAGACACCAGGCCTGCACCCATGGCCCCCAGGCCTGCACCCACAGACCGCACGCCCCCCAGGCCTTCACCCATGGACCCCATACACCGCAGGCCTGCACCCACAGACCCCAGGCCTTCACCGCAGCCCCCAGGCCTGCACCCACAGACCCCACGGCCCCCAGGCCTGCACCCACGGACCCCATAGACACCAGGCCTGCACCCACGGTCCCTGCTCTGCAGCCGCCCCGGGAGGAACCAGCAGCCCCAGCCTGACCAAACTAGCCCGAAATGGGCCCTCCGCAGCACCGGAGCAAACCTCGCCCAGCCCCGGGCTGCAACCTGGGCCGAGGGAGCCCCCGGCTAAAACACGGGAAGATTTTTCTCTTGCCTCTACCTGGGCCCGCGGGTACCCCGGGACGGGCGGGGGCCTCGCTTCCCGCCCCGCAAAGCAGGTTTGAGATGGGCCGAGGGGCTCAAAATTTGGGGACGAATGCACACCCCTGCAAGTCAGGCGGTTTCATGAGGTTTATTTCCACGGCACAACTCGTCCTCCTCTTCCTCCTCCTCCTCGCGGGGACAGGGGACGGTCACTGCCGAGGAAGAGGCCGCCTTGTCCCCGCCGGGGGGGGCGAGCACGCAATTCGCAGGATCAGGCGGACGCGCGTCCCCAACGGGGCTGGCGCCTTCACCCGTGCGGGCGGCAGCTGTGGAAACGGCACCCTGGCACCGCACCTTTGGTGGCAGCGACTCGGCCGACAGCCTGGCATCGGCACGGGGACCGACGCCTGGGCCGCCGTGGCGGCACCGAGAGCCAGAAACGCGCGG